ATATATTATGCTAAGAAATTCTATATAAAAATAATACTCTTTTTTTAAAAAAATCTTATATTAAAAGTTTTCAAGTCATTAAACTCTTCTAAAATTCAGATCCTGATCTTGTATTCCATGAGTCATAGTTTTCCAACGTATTTCATGATTCATATATTCTCAACATGCGAGATTTTATATTTATACCACCTTATTAAAATATTATAAATAATGTATAAAATATGTATATCTTAAAACTTTGTTCTTATTAGCAATAAATCTACATTTTCATAGAAAAAGCCATTTATAATAGGCAAACTTAGCTTACAGCAATAAAATGTTCCTTTCCAGAATAGATTCCACATAGAGTAACAAAATCAATCTCATTGTGGTAAAAAATACTGCAATTATGTATAAATTGAAGTGTATTTTTGATTATATTGTTATGCTATTTATCGAATAGTCGAAACATAATAACTACTAATACAAAATATAAAAAATATTTTGAAAATTCATATTTCCTGATTTCAAACTTGAATCGAATATATAAATAAAAGACACTGATGAATCTTTAACTATTTATACTTTTTATAATAATTATATAATTATTATACACAAATATGTATATATGGCAATTATCCAATTAACCATTTCATCTGGGCCACACTAGAAGAGCAAATTAATGTGTAGATCGAAAATTCACTTCGAAGTTGTACGCTGAAATTTTTTTATGTTTCGGAAGTGCTGAACAAGGTTGATCCGTTTTCAGATTTCACCTCGTAATTTAAAGGACAAACGACACTCCTTTTAAAATTACAAGATACATAATAATTTACGTCTTCTTATGTTTGGTTTCCAAAACTTTCGAAATGAAAACATTTCTGGTGGCAAAGTAGATGAGTGTCAGGCTGATTAGTTTCTGGTAAAATCAGTAATGGGAACGTTCTGGAATGCGTTTTCCAAGAAGTAAAAGCCGACCCACGTTAGTCAGACTTATAGTAATTAAAATGACAAAAGACTGAATAAATCACATGAAATTACGCCTTCATAAATAAAAACATTAGCGTAGGTTGTTTATTATGATTCATATTCCATACACGAGTTCTTACAACGATCCTTGTAGTGTTCGAAGCCAATCTGAGCAAATCCCAAGTTTAATAGCAAAGCATTAAAATATTATTTCTCTACATAAAAATTAACAAGAGATGGAACCAACAAACAAATAAATTATTAAGAAATGCATTCAGTCTCCCCTGAATGCCGAGTTTTTATCGTATATAAAGCTGACACTGAATGCATATACGCATTTATTGAGGTACGAATGATGAAGGACATTGCTCTATAACCTTTCTCAGTGGAAATTAATTTATGGCAAATTGATAAAAAGAAATAATAATCCAATTAAGTTTACGTTGCACTTTTTTATACAACTACATCTTAGAATGTGATTTAGTAAAGTTTTTGGCAGAATATGTACGTCACAATATTTTTGAGCATTTATTTTGATATACTTATAAGTTATCAGAATATTGGTCGTCTTATTCATATTGAGCATTATGTCCAAATTTATTGAATTTATATACTACTTTAGAAAAGATAATTCCAGTTTTAAGTAAATACGTAAAAGAAAATATACCTTTTGATTGACGAATTATAGAACATTCATATGAACATTCATATACAATACATACTATGCAAAAATATTTCTGAAAATTACATAGTGCAACACTTAAATATTTTTAAATAATTTATATGTATTAGGAACATTTTTATAA